TGTACACATTGGGAGAAGCAGGAAGAAAGCTTCACGCAGACTGATCAAACCCCTTCCTTGCAGAAACCACAACTGTACACTCAAACTCACCAGTTTTGCTTTTGTGGGATGTTCTCCCAGAGAGCACACAATTGCATGTTCAAAAATTTAAAATTGTTTACCTATTTTTGAAGGTTACTTATTGTTACATACAGCTATGACATCACCTGCCTGTCACTGCTGAAGCTGTGTGTCATCTACCAATGGCGTGACGGAGGGTGGGACATAAGGGGTGGAGCTGTTGTATATAAGGGGAGTGAATGGTGTGAGGGTTTCAGATAGGGCCAGATAGGGCTTTGAGATAGGGACGGTTAGGGCTGTGAGATAGGGAGATAGGGATTGGAGATACCGTGAGATAAGAACTGTGCTATATAGTGAGGGTCTGTGAGAGTGTGTGTGTGATTGTTATATTATTATAGTGATTGCTTTATTATTTATATTCAAGTGATTTACCATTCCTTTTTGTTTGTACACAATAAACCTAAGTTTTTATTTTGAAATCATACTTTGGCCTGAAGCTTCATTTGAAGGAATGGTTGGTGGCCGTGGGAACAAGAGTGATTGAGTGTGACGTAACGGCCCCTTTGTGAGGTATAAGGAGGCTGTTACACTAAGCTACTTGAAATGTAATAAAAACCTCAGAAAAATTGTGTGACTAGGCCAATTATTTATAAACAACAATTTGGTGGGCGAGAAAGAGAAAATCAGTCTCGTAAGTTCAAAACTTTTAGCATTTTTTATTTCTGTAATTGTTTAAAATGTGGAATACCTTTGCCACTCAAACATGCAAACTGGGAGCAGTCGTACTTGTTACAGAACAACTGACCTCCTGCAGAGATGTAAGAGTAAGGTGAACCAATAAAAATCACAGAAATTGCAAGCTTTCCTGGTTAAAATACCACTACTTCAGACTGGGCACCACCCTTCATGGACAGTGCAGAAAAATGGTAGCTCTAAGAGATACATGGTATGTTTGTGTGAGAGAAACTATTTTGTTTTTAAAATGCATAGCAGTTTCTCCAACAATGCTTTGAAATATATTTTCATATTGCCCTAGGGATTGCTTTCAAAAATCAGGCCACCAAATAATTACATAAGGTCTCTAACTTGTGTCTGGTACTTTCAAACCCAGTCCTAACATTAGGCAAAGAAAAGAAATGGCCTCCAGCAGCAGATTGACACAATGAAAAGACCAATAAAGGACTATTTGTGTACTGAATTCTTACCAGTAGGGACTAGGAGACATGCTTATGCAATTTTCCATGTCCTGACTGGCTTTGGACACTACCCTCCTTAAGGTAAGGTGTGTGGAAACATTTTCCACTTTTCTCTTAAATATTTGATCTATCAGCTTTCAAGGGCACTTGTAACAGGAGTGTAAATGGGACTGTTTCATTTAATACGTCTCTTGGTCCTATTTCTGCTGGCAGTTCAACTTTATAACAATCACACTGCTTCAAATCAGTATAAATAAAATCTATAGAGGTTCTAGAATTTTAATAACTGATTCTTAAGCTATAAACTTACTCAGTATGGTATAGTAGTGGACAGAGTGATGAATTAGGGCTGGGGAAACCCAGAGTAGAATCCCTGCTCAGCCAGAGAAACTCACTGGGGGAGTAGAACTGGTGGAGTCACTCCTTAGCATCTCACTTACCTTGAAAGCACTGTTAGTGAGTAGAACTGGTGGAGTCACTCCTTAGCACCTCACCTTGAAAGCACTGTTAGTGTTGCTGTAAGTCAGTTCCAACCTGACAGCACGTAACTAAAACTTTCAACAGCATTCATACTTATGAATCAAGACAAAAATGTGTTGGGCGGCCAAAACAAATCCAAGATACAGTACTGCTGCACAAAATGTGGAAAGAGCCTCTGCAGTGATAAAAAGGTAAAGGTAAAAGTTCCCCTTGACATTTTTTTAGTCCAGTTGTGTCCGACTCTAGGGGGTGGTGCTCATCCCGTTTTCAAGCCGTAGAGCCAGCGCTTGTCCAAAGACAGTTTCTGTTGTCACATGGCCAGCGTGACTAGGGAACGCTGTTTTATCTTCCCACCGAGATGGTACCTATTTATCTACTCGCATTTACATGCTTTCGAACTGCTAGGTTGGCGAGGAGCTGGGATAGCGACGGGAGCTCACTCTGTTGCATGGATTCGATCTTACAACTGCTGGTCCTCTGACCCTGCAGCACAGGCTTCTGCGGTTTAGCCCGCAGCACCACCACGTCCCTGCAGTGATAGAGTATTATTTGAAACAATTAAAAGCATTCAATTACTCCCTGTTTCTCTGTATATAGTAGTTACAAACTGCACGGATGTAACATCAGGCCAGAAAATGTCTCCATACTGTTATCCATAGAGGCACACAATCAGAAAGGCTATATTCAATCTAGCAAAACACTACTTGCATGAAACATTTTTATGGAATAGCTCTTGTTTCAAGATCCAGACTCATTTGCATACATGCATGAGTCTGGATCATCAAAGTCTGGATCTATCCGCTATCCCATTCCCTAGCACTACCTATAAACAATACCCTGAAGCAAACTGATTAGAAGCGACCGGCTCATATACAGCAAATGTTTTAGGCTTGTTTATTGAAATGTATTTGCATATAAAATCCCACTGTTCTGAAATTTTCAGAAATCTTTTGTATATATCTCTTGAATTTTAACCACTGTCACTTTCTTCATATGCATATTCATACATACCTACATTAACAGAACTTTGTGTTTGTCAAAAATCGTAACATTATGCCTATACATTGACCTCATAGGTCAATGGAAAGAGGGGAGAAGTCTGGAAGAGTAGCTGTACTAGAGGAAACAGTCAAAAATTTAAGGAACATAACATAAAGGAAATAATTTACAATATTCTTTTTTTGGCTTTAGTATGAATTAATCTCTTTACCACTGGGTACACAATTCTATATACTGTTTCCAGCAAGAAATCTGATTCTTTTCTTCATTCTTTTAGCTTTATTAACTCTTTTACTGTTGGATTCTATTTACTATAACAGTAACAAACTAAACTGAATGTAAATACCAGGATATTTCTTTCATTTCATCTGATATGCAGGCTCCACTGGGACCTACTTTACAGACTGGTTCAATCACAATCAGTGAGAGGAGCTAATAAAATGTATGTATTCAGAAACGATTCGTAAGACATTCTTAAGGCAGGGATCCCTTACAACTATTGGAACTATTTTTGCAGACTATTCTGAAACAGTTGCATGAAGAAAGCTGGACTGTATCTCAAATTCTTTAAACAGCTTCGACCAAACACATGCATGTGAGAAGGGAAAGAGACTACAATTCACAGCAATTATATTGGTATGGAAATCAACCATGGAACCATGCAGAAGATCTCAATGTTCAAATTCCTGTTGCTTAGTGTAAATTGTACCAGAGTAGACCCACTGAATCAGTGGGTATTCATTATTCTAAAATAAGTTGCAGAGTAGACCCTTTTGAATGAATGGAATTTACACAGGAGCTGACTCATCAAATCTCCACTGACTCCATGCAATTCTAGTGCAACATACAAAAGCAATTCACCTCCAAAAGGATTTGCCTAACAATTCAGGAAGAATTTACAAGCAAATTCTCACAATATTTTGTACATGACAGTAAAGTAGCAATAAAACCAACAATACCATCTTCTGAAAATCACTCAATACTTGAGCACAAATCTCTTAGCAAAAGAGCAAAGTAAAAGCAATACTGTAACTTATTTCTGATTTTCGAGAATACAGTACAGCAGGACTACAGCTAATTTCCCATTTTTCTAAATTCTACCCACAACCTAAGTATTCCATATATCTTTACCTGCTTCGCTATGCATCAGTACAACCCGTATCTATATATCATGAAGTTACCAACTCTGCTGAAGAAACAATAATAAACAACCTTCAAACTTTCCTGCAAGAACTGGATAAAAAGTTTCTTCCCTCTAAAATATTTTTATTAGTGATGGTACCAAAGATAACAAGTATAAAATATTTACTCTATGCTACGTACACATCATAAATATGATAGCTGCTGTTCCAATAGTCATTCACAGTCCTTTAAGAAGCGTGAGATTTGTCATTATTTTATTATGAGAATATGCTGTTTCCCAGCCACCTGCATGTGGCTTAAACTTCACAAATATTACTGTCTGTACTTTACATGGTAAAGCATTCACTATACTTTTCATGTACACAGAGGCCAAAGAGGAAAAAAGCCTTTCGGCTAAAACAAGAACCTAATGGGCTATTAAATCAGTATCACAATCAATGGACTTAATACCTTATATGTGATGTAATGTTTTCCATGTGCTATGTTTATATGTCTGTTAGCTGCAACTTCGAGAACACAAACTGAAAGCTAATACTTGCTTATTTGGCTTTTCCAAATCTCTTTCCCGTGAGGTAAGGCATTTTGATTGTTTCATGTTCAAATCTATTTTTACTTCAGTATAATCATGTTTTGTGTGAGCTTCTACTGCCAGTCTTACAATGCAAAAAAGAGTTCAGAGAAGAGTTGCTTTTGTCATCTGCTGCATTCCTGTGCTGTTATGTAACTGGTTTTAAAAATAAATTCCTTGGGATGTTCAAAAGGGCACTTCTGATTTCAGTGTTAGCTATTCAGCCCAATCCACAGCCCAATTAAGTGTTATTAATTAGAAGAGCTCCAGTGACATGCCATATGGTGCACTAATCTGGGGACTAACTGGATTGAAGACTGAATCACACCTACCATACGAAGGCCTTAGAACTGAGATTTTAGGATGAGGTTGTTGTTTTTTTAATTTAGAGGCTTTCAGGAGTGATAAGGCCAACAGGTCTTTAAAATGCTTGCTTACTGGTGTGACAGAATGATCCAGAAGCCCAATATTCACAAACAAGGAAATTAAAAACCATTAAAGTCAATATTTGTGTTTCAAAGAAGGCACTAAAGCCGTCAGCTTGTGCTCTCACATCCCATTTCAAAAGCAAAATATTTATTATTCTCACGGTATCTGTCCTCATTTGGACAGTATTAACTGGGCACATTGCAAAATAATTAAAAACAAGCCAGCTTGGAATTTAATACATAGATGTGCTTATAGTTGGCAGAACGGAAATCCAGTATAAACATGGCTGTTCTTTCTAGAATCAGAACATTAGCATGCATTCATCAACTACTAGTAAGAGAAAGATCTTAGACTTATTTTAAGCAAAATACTTAAAAATATAGTAAGAAAGTTACAAGCAACAAAGGAAGAATCTTCACTTGCCTCTGTAGGCATAAACACAACAACTGTAAAACTGTGTTAGGCTAAAAGTTTTCATCACTGTCATTTACAACAACAAGGGAAGCATGTTTATTTCTGCACCATTTTTAAGCACATCATCAAAACATATCACATTAATTTTAATTTTGAAAACCCATAAAGCAGAACAGAAATTCATTAAACTACTAATATTTTAAGAACTTTCAATGCAACCCCAGCAATTCTTCTGGGTTGCAGATATCCACATATTTGTAACAGCTATTGGCCAATCTTGTCATCATAGAAATGCACAGATTTCTTTGAACAATCAGAGCTGAAGCTGTTGGCTTTTCACATAGCCTATCATATTAGTCAGTTCTATTTCTTGTCTTCAAGATGACCAAACCTCTCCAAGAACCGGAAGAGCTGCCAACACAATATAACATGTCCAATTGATTGTTTGGTGATTTTTATCCTCTTTAGATGAACTTCAAGGACAGGAAAAAATCTTTGCACTTCTTTCCACAGCTGGGCAAGATGTCCTTTCAGTACTCTACACTTCTTCTGTCTTAACTGAGATGTTTTCTTCATTCGGTTGACAGTTCCCATTGTGCTGTAATCGATCTTCTTCCGCAGCAGCTGTATTCTCCTCTTCTGTTTTGTCAAGTTCAGAACTTGGATTCTCTCTACTTAGATCTTTATCCTAAGTTTTTAAACAAAATAAAGATATAAAAGGAATGTTCAGTCAGAAAAATGTGTGAAGCAGAAATACTGGTAAGGTTCACATTTAGCTAGGCACATGACATAATTTTAGGTAATGACAACTATTATGTTCTTGAGGATAGATACATGAAAAAGGACAGGGGAACTTAGATCTAAAAGCAGTCTCCAAGCCCACAAGTGTCTAGAGGGGAAAGGGTCTCTGAACAGCTTGTTGATTTTGAAACTATGTATTGCTTAAAATTTTTCTTTTTGAAAGTTACATACTGTAAGAAGTCAATTCCTGAAGTGAAAATATCACTAGAGAATTTCACATTATTCTTTGTAGATTAAATTCTGAACTTACAACTTAAAACAAAGTCATCATGGTGAAATGATCACAAAAATATTTTTACATCTTTATCCCTATATTCTGCTGCTGGCCGGTCGGTAACAGATCACCAAGCATCTGCTGGTTGCTGGTATTGTACCAAGAATGCCGGATAAAGGCAGCTCTCAGTTAGACTAAAGCACTGGTTCTTAACCTTGGGTTACTCAGGAGTTTTGGACTGCAACTCCCAGAAGCCTTCACCACCAGCTGTCCTGACTGGGGTTTCTGGGAGTTGCAGTTCAAAAGTATCCGAGTAACAAAGGTTAAGAACCACTGGACTAAAGCAAGAAAAATACCCCTTACACTCCTTAAAGAAAAACATATATTGAAGACCCCTCAAACACAGGTTTGTAATGCCTTCACTGAAGGTTCTAAGGTGTGTGGCTGCACAGCCTCACAATTGTTGTATTGGTCAATGTGGCCATCAAATTGTGGCCATACACTCACCTGACATTTCTGTCACTTAATTAGCGTGGGCTCAGTTACGACCCAAGTTAAGCTTGGAAGGTACAGCTAGGAACAGAGTATTTTACTTTCTGTTATAGAAACCAGGAGCAAGGAAGGTGGAAGAAAAAAACTTTGTAGGTCGAACCCACTTGTCAGTTTAACATAGAGAGAAAGAGAGCGAGGCGGCTCCAATAAAAAAGATTAAACTCAAGGGCAGAGTACCAGAGAAAGCCACAAAGCAGGTGCACTTTTGTGACAGGCTGACAGCTAAAGAGGAGTGCAATGGCGATGGCAAAGGAGTGCTGAGAAAGAGGAGGTTCCAGTGAAGGGTTGGTGGGAAAGGCAGCTCCATATATAGGACACAACAGTAATCTATGCAGTTGTGCTGGGGAACTCCAGGCCCTGAGGCTTAATCTAATATTTCCAGCTTCTGCGAATGGTCATGCCCTAGTGTTTGGTGGTTTCCCGGATTCTGTACATTTTCCTCTCATTCAGAAAAGTTGAAATGTTCTCCTGAGATAGCTGACAGTAAGCTTTATGATAAAGTAGATTGGTATCCAAAATAATGACATAACACACATTTTCACTTCAATCGGTGCTGTTGGTGGCTATTTCCGGGAAACCATCAAAATGTCAACAGTGGACGGACAGTGTGGATAACAAAGCCGTTATTACATTTGGCTATATATTAAGATTAAATTTGTGTCATAATGTCAAAGAGAAAGCGTGAAGAAACTGGAAAACCTAAAAAACAGAAATCTTGCTCCAATTTTAAGCAAGAATGGCTCTCACACCTTGTAGAAAGTGAATTACCATCACGTGAAAAACAGAAGATAACAATATGGGATGTTTTCATATATCAAGATACTGATATTACCATCCAAAAATGTTAATACTGTATGTCAGAGATGGACCACAAAATGAAATCTTCTATAAGACTGCATTTGCTGGTATTTTGATTTTAACTGTTAGTGACAGTATGGCACTTTGGAGGCAATAAAGAATGTTTACATCCACAATGATCCTGACCTTCAAAGGATGGTGATGTTAACATCAGATGGAGCACAAGTTATGCTAGGAAAAAATAATAGGGTAGCAGCAATTCTAAAATGAGAAATAAGCATTGTGTTGTTCACAGAGAAGACCCGGGAGTAGATGATGCATGGAAGAAAATGCCAATTATGCACATTTTGGAAACTGTTACATACCGTATATACTGTACAATATTTAGTAGGTCATCAGTAAAAAAATGAAAACTTGCAGAATTAACTAGTTTTATAGAGTGTTATGAGTTATCATAACTCTAAACAAACTTCAATGGCTTTCAAAGCATTTTGCTATAATTGCTCTAATGAGAAATTACTGTATTTTTGTTTATAGATGCCCCCCTTTTCTAACCCCCAAATTAAGAAAACCTAGCTTTGAGTATTCAGCCTTTGTGCTCAGAACACTCTGACATTAGGAGTCCTTGTCGCATCTGAGCCTATAGGCTTCACCTCCAACGAAGTGTGTTCCAATTGGTTTGTACAGCATCAGCTGACGTCAGTTCCATAAGACTCCTGATTGGAAGAAGCTAAGTGTTGTGATTGAAGGAAGCCTGTGTGGCGTTCACCCTTGTGCCCCCTTGCCTGACTGTCAAAACTCAGAGCACACAAAGGCAAACAATCCCCTCTTTTACACTGCTGCCACCAGGTGATCACTAAATCATCATTACTTCAGGAAGATAAAGATTCTGGTCCACACTTCAAGGTCTTTTCAATAGAACTTTTGTTCATTGATTATTGAAACTGAAATACACTCCTAACTCTAATCACACCTCAGAATTCCCCAAACTCCACACTCTATCCCCTTCTCCCTTCTCTCACTCTGACTCTGTTACTCTTACTTACTGACCCTGACTCTCTGACTCCGCCTCTTATAGCATCTCTCTCAGCTCCACCTCTCAGCAACATGAATATGCATGAACCATTACATAACAAAGCATGAACCACCGACCTAATAAATGTGGAACGCTACAGCCTGTTTACAGAGGCAAGTTACGGACTGTTTTGTTCTCTCCATGTTCTCAGCTTACATCCATGTAAAAGATACCCCTCAATTTTTAAGTGTAATGATTTTAGGAAAAAGTAGCGCCTCGTACACATAAAAATACGGTATAATGTATTAGTGCTATACTGTGAAGAGCAAGTGAGTGCAATGACTCAGTAAGTACTGTCTCAAGATTCTGATTGATCCACACTATATAATTACACTAAGTATTCTTGATGAGCTTTTAGATGACTTCGTGTCACTCTGCAAATACCTATAGAAAACATGTTTGAACACAGTACCGTTTCCCAGAAAATAAGTCCTAACCTGAAAATAAGCCCTAGTATGATTTTTCAAGATGCTCATAACATAAGCCCTACTACAAAAATAAGCCTCAGTGCAGTGAAACCTCACCCTCCACCACTGTGCAGCAACCAGAAGATGACATGACTGTTTTTGAATAAATGTAGATTGTTGTACATGAAAAAAAAAAACATCCCCTGAAAATAAGCCCTAATGTGTTTTTGGAGCAAAAATTAATATAAGACCCTTTCTTATTTTTGGGGGGAAACTGTAGAAGCACTGCACTATGCCAAAGCAAAAATAAACAAATTATGATTACAATAGCTTGGTGATACAGTGGACCCTTGACTTACAGACGGCTTGACTTACAGACTTTTTGAGTTACAGACTTCTCTGGCCGCAAAATTTAGGTTTCACTTGCAGACTGAGATTTGACTTACAGACCAGAAAAAAACCAAAATGGAACAAAAACGGCCTGTTACGGGATTAATCGCTTTTCAATGCACTGTAGGTCAATGGAGACTTGACTTACAGACTTTTTGACTTGAGAACCGCCTTCCAATACGGATTAAGTTCTCAAGTCAAGACCCCATTGTATTGTTAATTGGAGTGAAATGGGGAAAGAGCTACTTGCTTCTCATTTGTATGTGGATACCAGACCAATTATGGCATTTATTGAAAATATGTGCTTTCACTTAGATGAGAGGTTTTCAGATGACGAGTTAAAAGAATATGAATCTTTAGATCCCCATTCTATTGCAAATACAAACGATTTTGAATTTGGATTGGATCACGTGAAAAAAAAAACACTACAAAACTACTCTATTACTTTATAAAAACTTCAGTCTGTGTTATTTGTAATGGTAACCTATTTAATTATTTAATTTGTGTTAGTTTTGCTTTAAAATTGTACTACTGGTAGTACTGATTTTTAAAAGTTCTTTAATTCTCAGCAGAAAATATATGTTGAAACAGTGCAGACTTAACCTTGTAATTTATTTAAAATTTTAATAAAATACTCAACACAAAAGTACTTTTTAATGAAAACATGTGCTGGATGAGCTGCATGAAAGTTTGAATATTGCACAGTAGATTTGAATTTAAAATATTTTTGCTCAAAGAATTAAAGTTCCACTCAGTGATGGGAAAAGTAAGAGGGAACATTGCCTTCACTTCCAAAGAACGTCTGCATGCACTTTTTCCTCTGTCCTATTCTGAGCACAATCTTTTCTGTCTACTCAGAAACATAACCTGCTGAGAAAGGCTACAGAGATGCAAGGGGAAAAAAATGGAGAGGCGGTTGCTCCTCAGCTATGGAATCAGTTACCATCTGTTATCTGCATGATCCCTTCATTGGGAATTTTTAATAAACAACTTAAGACCTGGTTATTTTGGCAGGCATTTCAAAATATGTCACCTACAGAGCCCACCTACATTCTAGTTCTGACCCCTTCCAAGATTTTTTGGAAGACAGACCTTTAAGAACTACACTCTGACCTGCTGTTTTTCAAGAGCTGACAATGCATGCAGGTTACTGTGACCAGACACTCTGGTCCAATACCAACCTGATTCAATCCAGCTTCATTTTGCTGTATGTTTCAGGCCATTAAATAGAATTAATGATCTTGACTGAAATTTACATGCCCTTCAGAATTATCTCCCTGCCTGTAGTGACTAAGATGCTCTGAGAGCTGTTAAGTGTTTCAAACTGTTCGGTGGTAAACAGTACCATGTATTTATCCCTCCTGGAAGGAAACATATGAGGTACCCAGCACTCAATGAAACACAAAGGATAAGACACATTTCCCCACCCCACTTCTGCATACTTGTTTTCTTGTTTAAAGTGACTCACCTTCAAAGTGGTGGTTTTATCAGACTTCTCTTTAACATCTTTGTCTTTGCTGCTCTTTTTCTTGGAGGTAGATCTCTCCCTCTCTCTCCTATCATTACTCAAGTCTCTGTCCTTCTCTGTCTTTTTGTCTTTCTTGTTTCTGTTTTGAGAATAAGAATTACAGTTAGAATTATGATAGTAATGTATAGGCAACACATGTTCCCTCTTCATGCATTCACTGTGCACACAGGGTCCTGCAGTCACAGGAAGAGGGGTGCAAGGAGGCCAATAAACATATTCCTGACAGGAGGATCTGACCAATGGGCAGACAATGGATCCATCAGTGGCAGGATGTGAACAATAAAAAAGGCGACATTAGACCTCCAGCTTGATGCTGCGATGAGACAGCAGCAGGAATAGGGAGCTCTGTCTCCTTGGCTGAATTTTGACCTGTTTGGGATCTCTCGGGGAGTTAAAATGATCCTGAAAAGGTGGTGAATTGGGGGAGAAGCCTGTTGATCATGGGGGGGCAGTTACCCCCAATTTGATCCGGGAAACTCTCCAATCAACCAGTGGGTGGAAACAAGCAATAGAACAGCTTGCTTGCAAGTCATCCGCAGCCAGCAAGAGAGAAGCGATAAATTAGCTAATTAACATCGTTGTTGCCCCTGGGTGAGATACAAAATTATAACTATTCTGCTCTATTACTATCCCTGGATGAAATAATCCATTTAACAGAAATAAGCATCTCTTACCCTCACCACTTACAGAGCAGCGGTGGATCTGGAGAGGGGGAAGGAGACACAAAGAGACGCAAAGAAAATAAATTGGACACTAATTAAACACTTAATTATACTTCAAGCAAGGAAGTTTGGTATTACATTGGCGTTAGAAACTTAAGAAATTTTCCTGTTAAAATTACTATTAGCCAAACAACACTGGGAGTTAAACTGTTTATGTTATTACTATATACAGCTATCTACAGCGCTGGCAAAAAGCCCAAAACTATGACCTCGAACACTCAAGGTTGGAATCTGTTTTGACTTTCTTTTTTCTTCTTTTTTCTGAGAACTAACTAAAACATAGACAAATAAACCCTGGAAAGTCTAACAAAGATAATTCATCTTTGAATATATATCTGGCTAATGTGGACCTATGTGGACGAATAAAAACATTTGGATGTACTGTATCCTGGGTTCTGTAGCTGACTGGAACACAGGCCAGGATAGAATCAATACAGTACTGGAATGGACTGTTCTCTGGGCTGGATTACAAAAAAATACCAGGCCATGAATACAAACATTGAGTGAACTGGGCTGTCAACTTACATCTGAGACTGGACTCAAAATTAACCCTAAAGATGATCAATCTATTGAAGTGGAATTATTGAAGGAATTATTGATAGAACTGGACTGATTGCTTTAAGCTACTGGACATCTTTCACTTGGAGTACAAGTACTTGACATCTGGGGGCATAATGCTACAACAAGGAAAATTTTGGGATGAAACAAAATCTACCCTTCAAGCAATTTTAGAAACAGTGAGACCCCACAATGAAGAGGTGAAATTATTACAGGGGCAACTAAGGAAGGACTATATTCAAAAGGAGGCAGGAAATAATGAACAAGGAAATGTGCGGGTGGTGGATGATGCCAACCAAAGGAAGGGCTGGAGGAAATCAGTGGAGAAAATTCAGGAGATTTAATTCTAACCCTGGAGCTGAGGAGAATCTTAGGTGTGCTAAGTTAAGGGGAGGGAATCAGCAGAATTAATTAAAAATAGCCTGGAAGATCTATTGGAGATAGATCAGGTACATAAAATGATCTCAGACAATACAAGAGATGACAGAATTTTTAGAGAGCTAGGAATAAGAATTAGGAAAAGACAAAAAAGAGAAGGAGTTACTTAGAAAAGATGTAAAGGAAAAAATATTAAGGTGGCCCTCAAAGTTGACACCTAACTTCTGGAATTGTAAGGGGACATATCATATACATTAGAAAGGGTATTAAATTGAAATAAGGTATCATTAAGGGATGTGGTGGCGCTGTGAGTTAAAACGCAGAAGCCTCTGTGCTGTAAGGTCTGTAGATCTTCAGCTATAAGATCGAATCTACGTGACGGAGTGAGTGCCCGTCGCTTGTCCCAGCTCCCGGCAACCTAGTGGTTCGAAAGCATGCAAATGCAAGTAGATAAATAGGGACCACCTCAGTGGAAAGGTAACAGCGTTCTGCGTCTAAGTTGCACTGGCCATGTGACCACAGAAGATTGTCTTCAGACAAAACGCTGGCTCTATGGCTTGGAAACGGGGATGAGCACTGCCCCCTAGAGCCGAACACGACTGGACAAAAATTGTCAAGGGGAAACTTTACCTTTACCTAAGGGATCATTAATCAGGGTAAAGGCATAACATGGTGGTTCTTAAGGTGAATTGAAGCTAGATATAAGAAAGAGTAAAACAAATACTACTATAGACATGACAGAAAATGTGGAAATAGAAATGGCTAAACAATTATAAATATACAAGAAATATAAGCGTTGCTATGTCAGACTATGTTTACACACACCAATGCAAATATGAAACCACTATGCACTCCATGAATTAAAAAGTTCAATAAAGCCATCTATATCTATTCAAGTTATCTTCCTTCACTGTATAATCAATTGAAGCATGTGATAATATACATTCACTGATTTTTTTCTTGAAATGAAATATATGGTTAGAATAATTTAAGCTTGAATTCCTCAGGTCCATGTGGATTGATACAGCCTACCAAACTACTTTAGCATAAATTTTAGGAAGACAGGAAAAAAAGGAGGGAAAGAGGAAGATACAAGTATAGGGGGAAGTGTGTAAGAATGTGAGCACTATTTATACATCTCTACATAATTCTATCAGCTTACTCAAATGCGTATAGTTCTGTAGTCTTGGCTATCAAAAAAGCAGTTGTGGTTTAACTGACCTTAAGGCAACCAACCCTCCCAGTCTCAGTTCCCCAGTTACAATAATCATTTAATGATGTTCTGTCAGGTTATTTCTGACTTAGGGTGGCCCATCCAGGGATTTTTAGGATGGATAGGATGGGATCTAGACTTCTCCATTCCACAAACTGCACAGTTCTATCATCCTCAGAGAAAACAAAAATAAAGCAGAGACCTTTGGCTGGATGGATAGATTTTTACAGACCCTCTTTCCCATTCTGCAGTACCCCAGAAGCAAAGCACAGCGCAAGGTCAAAAACATACTGGCAAGAATCATTTAAGCCTTCTGCATAACAAGCCCAAGTCTGAATCCAATTCATTGGCATAATGTCATATAATTGTACATATTGCAACAATAAATAAAACAGAGATATAGATACATTTTAAAAGAGTTGTGTACCACACTTCAACAAACATATTCTAGAGTGTCTTGCAAATAAAATCAAAGGGGAAACAGACAGCACAATAAAAAATGAACAGGGCTATAAAATAAAAAGGGACCAGAATGAGATGTGTAATGGTTTTTCATATGATTTTAATCAATGTATCAAAGTGTACTGTCTTTTCTACTTTGTCCACAATTTCTACTAATACCAGTGAAAAGCACATCAGTATGGAAAAGCTATCAACATATCATAAAATATCAACATATCTCTCCTACTCTGGCCATGCTGCACTGGCTGCCCATCTGTTTCCGCATTGACTTCAAAGTGTTAATGCTTACATATAAAGCCCTAAACGGTTTAGGACCTCGATACTTGGCGGAACGCTTACTCCCAAGTAGCTGTACCCATGTCACCCGCGTGAGCCAGGAGGTGAGGCTGAGGAGCCTGATGCCGAGGGAGGCCCGGAAGGAAAGAACTAGAAACCGGGCCTTCTCGGCGGTGGCTCCTCGCCTCTGGAATAACCTACCTCCAGAGATTTGCGCTGCACCCTCGCTGGGTACTTTTAAGAACCAACTAAAAATGTGGATGTATAGGCAGGCCTTCCCTTCCAGTTAATTCCTGTCCTCTTTCCTTTTTTTCTCTTTATTTGATTTATTTTGTATTTTTTCCATTACAAAATCATTTAATTAATTAATTGTTATAAATTTTTCTTAAACTTGTTATGTTTTATGTTGTAAGCCACCTAGAGTGGTCGAAATGACTAGATAGGCGGGGTATAAA